AAAAAAAAATGCAGAATGGGGGGCCATCCTGTGGTTTCTGACGTTTTGGGTCTGGGGTGTGCCTCAGCATCCGTGTGTGTTCTCATGTACGCACACATGCATGCACGCACACATGTGGTTTTGATGAAAGTTGGTGATGGAATATGATTTCCCTGGCTGTGATGGAAAAAAGCATAAGACACACAGTCTAGGTAAAAACAGTCATATTTAAATATAGAACAAGACTCACTTCATCACAGTTTCTTTGAGATGATCTTATATGAATATGTGACATGTGTCATTTTCTGGTTATAGCAAAAATGATATGGAATCATAGAAAATAATGATTTTCAGGATTCCTCAACTCAGCTTTTTTGGGTGTTAACAGTCATTAACATATTCTGCCAAGGGCAGCTGATGTAGTAAATTGTGGGCAGATGTATGCGTGCAGGTCAGGCGGAGGCGGGGGAACAGAGCCCCGCAGAGTGCTGGGGGCTTCCAGGGCCCTGTGTCTTGCAGGTAGGGCCCAGGCTGGGCTCTTAGCTCAGGATGGCGGCGCTCTAGGATGTCCATCCATCTCTCCCGGTCAGTCCCTCCGTTAAACAGAAACGTTTTAGCCATCGGTCATCTGCAGTTACATGTGACCCTGAGAGGCAAAACCTAGTGCCAGTTCAAGCCAGCAGGGGCTGGCGTAGGCTTGCGGAGCGCCCAGAGCTGGGGATGGTCTGCAGTCGGCAGAATGTAGGTGGTAGCTGGGGACCCAGAATGAACATCACCGCCTCCGTCGAGTCCTGTTTCACTTTTCTCTGCCTCGGTTTCCTCACATGAGTAAAAGGGCTTGTAAAACGACCTGCCTTGCGGGGTTGCTGGTAATGCCCAGAGCATCCAGCGAGCGCCCAGCTTTCCCTCTGGGCTGTGACCGGACACTGCATTTACCGGAGGGTGGCCCTGGGGGACACCCAGCACGCCTGATCCCTGCGTGTGCTGCTGAAACGGGCTCGAGCTGCTGGCTGCCCCTCCCCATTCAGGACCGCAGATACCAAAGGCGGCTTGGGGCCCTTGCTGCGGAGCCTGGGGGTCAAGCTCAGCCTCCAGGGCCCTTCTCGGTGACGCCCTGCAAGCCCTGACTCTGGGCTGAGGACCCACAGGCCCAAGTGATGCTGCCGAGACCTTGGGCTGGAGCCTCCCTCGGGTGGTGACACCTATGAGTTGCCCTAAAGAGTAAACACTGCCCCAAGGTCGCCATCCTGCTCTGTGGGGGGGGGGTCTCTGAAGGCCCCAGAAGCCACCCTCCAGCCGGTGACGTCCTCTGCTCCTCAGAGACGGTCCAGGGAGCAATTTGTGATTTAATATCTCCACGCCCAGAAGTCCAGTGCACTTCCCTAAGTTTCCTGGGGTCATTTTAGCCATTAGATGGAGGTGGGGTTTTTTAAGACATTTGTGCAGTTTCCTGTAGAATGTGTACAATAACAGAGGATTGTAAGTGCACGTTTGGGTAGTAGAGCCAGACCTGTGCCTCTCACATTGTGCACTAGAGGCTTTGCTCCAGACAGAGTCCAAAGAAGAACTCTGCCCTGGGCTTTAACTCGATTAAAGGTGTTTGTTATTAATTGACAAATTGAAACTGCCCTTGTCCTAACCCAAAATGCTGCAGATCCACAGATTTTAGCTTCTCCCTGTGCTCCTTGCATCCTGGGAGAAGCTACTTTCAGGACACAAACGCCCTTCTCTGTGCCTCACACACACCCATATTCAGAGACACAAAAGCCAACTGTTGTAAAAATATTAGCATTCAGAGGCGCTTGTGTTTCGTTAATGCATTTAATCATGTACAATATAGTGACTGTTTCCCCTTTACATTTGCATTAATTTATGTCAGCCACAGAACCTAAAGCACAGCTTGAAAATCAGACTCTGTTGCAACCTATAAATTAGGATTGTATCCCTGCAAAAATCTACAGCTTTGTGCCGGCCACAGCATTCTTCATGGTGCTTTTTCACGTTGCTGTGATACAGTGAGGGATTTGATATGTGATAAATATTGATGTTCTCATGCGGTTCAAGTAACCAGTGGTCATAAAAGACGTGCCATATTCTAAGTGGCGTATTTGTAAGGCCTGTAGCATGGCCGGCGTTAGGCACACCTGAGAGCTGTGTGCCCCCTCTTAGGAGCAGAAAAAAGACCCCGGGATCACAGGGTCTGGCTGTTTGCCTGGTACTTGGTCTCCGGCAAACGTTTATGATACCCGTTGGGAGCCACTTACTCTGCTTTGGAAACATAAGTCAGTATACTGACTGCGCGATGAGTGTCACCCACGGGACAGTCCCTTGACCCCTGTGACTTTGTTAAAGGAGTGTGGAATCACTCCGGTTTTGTTATTTATATATTTGTGGAAGTAAGGGTTGTAGATATAAAAACTCCCCCGCATACATATAACAAAAGGAAAGACCCTCGTTGCAATCATCCCCCAGACACGTGCCGTTCCTTCCTGGCACCCCAAAGACATGACCTTGGCCCTGCGCCCTATCTCTTCCTTGACCATAGCCCCTCCCACCTGTGCTCCCCCGCACCTGTGCTCCCCGCACCTGTGCTCACCCGCACCTGTGCTCCCCGCACCTGTGCTCACCCGCACCTGTGCTCCCCGCACCTGTGCTCACCTGCACCTGTGCTCCCCGCACCTGTGCTCCCCGCACCTGTGCTCCCCCGCACCTGTGCTCCCCGCACCTGTGCTCCCCCGCACCTGTGCTCCCCGCACCTGTGCTCACCCGCACCTGTGCTCCCCGCACCTGTGCTCACTGCACCTGTGCTCCCCGCACCTGTGCTCCCTGCACCTGTGCTCCCCGCACCTGTGCTCACCTGCAGGCTGAGCCTTCTCCTCCCTTGAAGTCTGGTCCCACCCACACCTCATTCCTTGGCTGTCTCTGGGCACTTTCTGCGAAGAAAGCCCTTTGCCTCAGCCCTTGAAGCCCCGCGTAGTCTGGCTGGCCTGTCTTGAATCCGTCTCTCACCTCTTCCCTCCACCATCGCCCCCCTTTCCTCCATCATCCCCTCGCCCCCTCCCCCCCACCATCCCCCTTCCCCATCTACCCCGCTCCCCCTCCCGCTCAGCACCTTAAGCCTTGCACGCTCGGGCTCCAGGCCTTCCTGCTTCTCCCCGGTGAACAGGCCAAGCTCGTTCCGCGGACCCTGTCCTGGACGTCGTTCTCTGCAGAAGTCCGTCCCCCCGGCCACCCCGCCACCCCCAGCCCCATCCTCGGCCCACACTCCCGTGTCATCCAGTGGTCCCCTCAGGGGGCCTTCCTGATGCCCCTTATCCTGCTGTTTCCTTTCATACCATTACTCAACATGAAATTACGCATTGTATCTGTTTCCTGTGGCAGCCACACAAATTACCACAAACCGGGTGGCTGAAAACGATAGGAATTTCTACCCTCTCGGTTCCAGAGGCCAGAAATCCACACCCAGGTGTGGGCAGGGCAGCGCTCTCCCCGAAGACTCGGGGGGGGGGGGGGAGGGTCTGCCCCGGGTCACCCGCCTCCCCGTGTTCCTGGCAACCCTGTCTTGTACACACACCAGGCCACGGTCTGCTTCCATGCCACGTGGCCTCTGTGTGTGTGTGTGTGTGTGTGTGTGTGTGTGTGTCTGCATCCAAATCCCCCTCTTCTCACAGGGACACTGGTCATTGGATCGGGGCCCACTCTACTCTAGTGAGACCCCATCTTAACTGGATTACATCTGCAAAAGACCTAACCCTCAAATAAGTTCACATTCACAGGTACTGGGGATGAGAATGTAGACACACCATTTGGGGGGACATTATTCAACCCATAACGTTCGTTTTCATCTGTGTTCATGCGACAAGGACCACATCTTGTTCGCCTAGTGCAGGGGACATGACACTTGCTAGGTGCTTGGTAAGGATGGGTGGCTGGGTGGGTGGATGGACGGGTGGATAAGTGGATGGATGGGTGGTTAGCGGATGGCCGGGTGGATAAGTGGATGGACGGGTGGATAGTGAATGGATGGATGGATGGGTGGTCGGATGTTGTTGGTAAATGCTAGTACATAGATTTCTGGGCAGTTTGATGGATGGATAGTGTGAGTAAAGCCACATTTGCCGTAGGTAAGTAATAAACTTTGGAGAAGAACCTAACTACATGACGTTGATTTATACCCACCCGTGGTAACAGAGCAAGATGGAGGTATTGTCATTCTCGAGAGAAATACTGTGTATTTTTTGTAAAAAGCTAAGGGAGGATGGTGTGCCACGTGAACTACCCCGTTTCCACTTAAAACTTTCTGATTGCTGCTGCTTACAGAGGAGAAGCCAAACCAAAATGTCCTGAACAAGCAGCTCTCTCTCATGCAAGAGGCCTCTTGTGGACTCTGTGTACTAAAGAATTCTAAATGCCCCATTTCTTTAAGGCATGAATTGCAAAAGGTGTGGGCAGTTCCACTTTTAGCAAGAATGCTAAAAATACCTTTTGTCAAATAAGTGCTCCCAACACGCTTTGCTTAGGCACCAGTAGCCTTTTAGATGATAAACGTGCCATCAAGGCACCTGCAACCCTGGAGCCCCCCAGGGCAGGCATGGCAGCACCTAGGGGAGATGGTGTGCCTGGCCCTGTTTGCTCGGGAAGGCCCAGTGCCGGATCTGGAGCACCTGAGACAATTCCCAGGGCCTCTGAGACACAGAGCCGCCACCAGGATGCTCGGGCCGGATGGGCTCTGCCCAAGGCAGTCCGGGGCCGCATGGAGCTCCTGGCGCCTGCGCACCCTGTGGATTTGATAGGAGACGGCCGGTTCCCCAGCCCGGGAAGAAAGCAGCATTGTCCGTGCCCCGCTTTGCACAGCCGTATTCATATCTCACTGTTGTTTGCAGATGTGGACCAGAACAATGGGACCCCCTTGCAGGACACAGCGGTGACAGACTCCAAGCGCACAGCGGGCCCAAAGAATGCCTGGCCGGATGCCAACCCAGCTGACCCAGGGGGCCGCCCCCATTTGATCCGCCTCTTTTCCCGAGATGCCCCAGGGAGGGAGGACAACACCTTCAAAGACCGGCCCTCAGAGTCAGACGAGCTCCAGACCATCCAAGAAGACAGCGCAGCTGCTCCCGAGGGCCTGGATGTGATGGCGGCTCAGAAGAGACCCTCCCAGAGATCGAAGTACCTGGCCTCGGCGAGCACCATGGACCACGCCAGGCACGGCTTCCTCCCCAGACACAGGGACACGGGCATCCTCGACTCCCTCGGCCGCTTCTTTGGCGCGGACAGGGGTGCACCCAAGCGGGGCTCGGGCAAGGTGAGCTCTGAGGAGTAGAGGCGCATGCAGGTCGTGCCTCCCAGGTGGTGTAAGCGGAAAAGGAAGGGAATCCGCAGGTGAACTCAGCCGTTAGAGAGAGTACAGCCTCCGTGCTGTCTGGGGAAACGTGTTGTCCTTGCTGGAGACGGTTACGGGTTCCTGGGAGGGGCCTGGGTCACTGCTTTCGATTTTTCCACCCTCTCTCCCCTGCTCACCAGGGACGCGGTCAGGATGTGGTCCAGGAACGGAGAACGTTCTGCATTCACATCTCCAGGGTGGTGTGGACGTGGACACTGTGGTCTTTTGTGTCTTATGCTTGGGGGCTTTAGGGCTGACGTGGCTTCTGCTGCCCCCGCCTCGGGGCTCCACACTGGGCTATTGCCAACGTTTTCCTGGACTCAGTGCCGCTAGCTTCGTGTTGCTTTGCAACAATGATGTGATTGAGGACTTTGGAACAAACTCGAAATTTAAATTCGCCTTGAGCAGACGTTCTCTTTTGTCTGAGTTGTTTAGGGAAATAAATGAGTGTGAGGGATTAAATGAGTGCGTCTATGAATCAAAGCTGTATTAGTTTGTTATTCCATTCATTTGAATGTAGAATTTGTGAAGTTTCATTATTTAAACGTTCTGTAGATAAAAATGTGTCACAGGAGAAAATTGCTCCTATTGTGGTCCGGTTTGTGAAAGTGGCTTCTGGACTAGATTGTGAATAGATCATCTATGGCTGATGCTTCAATGAAAAGCTAATCCCCAAGTGGCATTCCGATAGCAAATACATCGCATGCGCGGCACCTGAATTTTAGAGTGTTGGATAGCTGGGTGATTTTGGAAGGAGTGAGGTTTTTCAAAAAAGCCCCTGGTTTATTGGGTGTGCTCACAAAACACCTAAGATGCAGCTTTGCTTCTGGCTGTGCCCTGTGCTTATTCTGAAAGGCCTTTGGGGAGTTGTAAGGGGCTCTGAGTCGAGTGTGGAGCAGAGGGCCTTTCATCGTGGTCCTATAACATCATCAACACTGGGGCACTGGGAGTTCAGGAGTTTCTCGAATTTGCTTTAGTCTCTAAATACAGTTCTTAAAATTAGTGACGATCCTGAAATGGTTGGAGATAAACACAGATGTCGGCTGCACCTTCTGTGTGGTGTTAAAGGAGCGTTGAGCTTTCGGGGACCTGCTGGGAGCTGAGATCTGTCACGTGACACTTGGCAGGACTTCCTGTGAATAACTCCATGTACCTTTTGTGCTTATAGAATTCATTTTCTGATTGGTTTCTTCAGTGTCCTGCACTTTGGGGCAGTCTTCCCTCACCCTGAAATGTGGGTCCTCTGACCTATTTCTAATGCTGATTTCCATCCGAGATGCTTTATCAAGCACAGCTATCAAACCACACCAGACCCTGACTGCCTAATCAAGTCTTGCTATTATGCAAAGCACCCCGTATGCATGCAGCGTCAGGAAAAAAACAGGAAAAATAGATTTAAACTGTGCAGAAGAGATGAAGCACCTGGATATAGCATATATTACAAAACAAGCTTCATTTCGGTGGTAATGGGTTAAGTTAAAATAAAATCGTGAAAGCGTTTATGTCAATTGTTGTGACCTCATCTCAAAATGAATATATGTTAGACATACGTGTTTTTCTTCCTTTATGTAAAAGTACAACCTTGACTGCATCAAGTCTGATATTCTTCAACATTTTCAAAGCAAAGATCCCAGCCTCAGAAGTAGGCATCCACTTCACCAACTAGTCTTGCTAGGTCATCAAGGATTCAGAGAAATCAAAAACATTTTCACAGGATTTTTAAACATAAAAACAATGTTTAAATAATTGATTTAGAACTTTTGAAGTATCAGTTCTGTTCACTGCTGGATGTTGAGTAAAGAAGATTTTCGAATGAGCAGCCTCGCTCTCTGATGCCAAAGAAATCCGTTAGAGTTCGAATGCAAAATCATATCCGTAGTTGCTTATTGCAAACACAGGCTAGGGATACATTCCTGTCGAGTGTCTTTGCTGAAAATATGCAGTGGGCCTTACTGGCAGTCTTACTCAGCTCACCTATCTTACTGTGGATTCTCTGTTCACTTATCAACAACACTGGAGGTGTAAGCATAATACACTCTACACCCAGTGACACACCCGCAATGGCCTAGAAGCCTGCGGTATTTATTGGTGTGGGCTTACTTTTTGGTTTTGATCTTATTTTTGCTTTGCTCTGTTTATAAATCAGGAGAGCCCTCCTTGTATTAGGTGCTAGAAAGGTCCTTTGGATTGAAGCGTGTGAAACTGATGGGAGCCCTTGGCTCCCGGAACAGGGGCTGTTTGTCGCCTGCCCCCCTCCTCCGAGGGCACGTGGGGTGGCCCCTGGGTGAGCAGCGGCAGCGCCCCCTGCCCTGAGAATGCACCAACACACCCACCCCCTGTGCGGCCGGGAGTTGACATTCGAGCAGAGCGCTCACAAATTCCTTGAGGCGGCATATTCTTTCGAGAGAGCCGTAAATGAAAAGTGCGTTCACGAGACCACGCGCCTTTGTGGCAGGAAGAAACAAGGGCGGAGTTGTTGCCTTTAAGAAGCAGGTTTGCAAGTCCCTGGAACCTGGGGCCCTGTGAGGAATGGGCGGGTGGTCAGGACGGAGATGCCACTGCGTTTGGTCAGTTTTAGTGGGTGGAGGGGGTCCCCTAAGCTGCTCCACCTACCCACCCGTCAGACCCGCCGCTCCGGGGCCAGCGCTGTACCCTCAGGCTTGCTTAACAGCAACATCGTGACCCGTTAGCTTGGACAATAGCCAGGGTGGCCGCAGTGATGTGACACCCGGACACCCCCCAGTAGGGATGCAAGGGGACAGGCCTGTATCGCCGTCCTCCGCATCAGTCTACTTTCCTACAGGTGTTTTACAGCAAGTTTCTGTACTGGTGGTTATACCTGTTTTCCTCTGGTGACTACAGTCAGAGCTGCATTTACAACCTGCTGCTCTCAGCATCCATCTGTCATCAGCTTGCAGCATGACTTCCCTGCCTCTAATCTTGATTGTGTGGGAGAAGAAAGCTTGCTGTCATTCAGTGCCCTGGGGTATAAGCAGTCTTGCAAGTTAATCACAATGTTCTGTTTCCTGCCTTTTCTTCCACTGCATTTCAATTTCATTGATCACATTTTAGTTCTACGGTAACTTAACTCCTCACCGTTAACATGGCACCCTAATGTTAGAGATGTATTCTGTAATCCCCCAGGGAGGGTGACAGTTGGAGGCGACAGGAAGGACATGGCAGGCAGTGTCTGAGCAGGGTGCCCCACCCCGTGTGAGTCTAGCCCTGAAGTCGGGGGCCGGTGGAGTTGCACTCGCTCATTTCAGCCGAGAGTGTGTCCACTCACGATGCAGCGATGCACTAACATGGATCTCAGCTAACGTGAATCTACGTGGCCACGGCCCAGCCACTCGATACATCAGTTTGCCAAGAGATTTGGCCAGACGTCTTTCTAGAGAAAGATCCCTGTATGCTGGGTATATGTGTTTCTGCACCCAAACAAACACTTTTTGAGATTTCCTACAGGAATTCCTTCTGATGTATCATTCCCCTGATCAGTTGGGGGTCCATTACTGATCGGCTCCCAGCGCTTTGCTGTGTCCTCCTGTGGCCTCACTCCTCCGCTGTCTTTAACCAGGCGAGAGATAAATCAGAATGGTGTGCCCCTGTGTTGGCAGCGATTTTGCTGCGTCCTCTGAGTGAAACGTTTGTAGATTATGTTGATGTATTTAATGCTAATTGCCTCTGGTGATTGTATTCCGATTTGATTTTGTGATGACCTTTTGCTTTTTATATATTTCTTCCTTTTTATGCATTTATTAAACATTTTAACAGACTAATTGCATGTGATTTTTTTAAGTTGTCTTTTCTGGTGACCCTCCCTTTACTAAGCACATGGTGTAACTGGTATTTTCATGACCTTCTGACACAGCAGGTGTCAACCAACAGGTGAGTCTGGGGGCCCGAGCACACCCTTCTGCACACAGTTTTCACGCCTCTACTTTACACACAGACGTTCTGTTCTTTTCTCTCCACTGGCAGTTCAGTATCCTGGTCTTTCTGTTAGGACTGTTCTCGTTCTGCCTGATGGTTTTTACTGTTTCTCTCAAAGCACCGTCCTGTACATGTTGGGGGAAATGACTGTATTCTCCCCTGTACCTGGGACACGGGACCCTCAATAGCATTTACTGAGTGACTGAGCACAGGAAAGACAGCCCCCGCCTGGGCTCCCTGGGGAGGGTACATACCAGGGGGTAGAAGAAACAGCGGAGAATCTGAACGTAGAGGCAGGCCGGTTCTTTTAAGGATGACAGGTAGTTTGTGAAATTGAGGGTAAGTTCGGGGTTGCTGGTGAACTAGAAATAAGCGCAAAGACATGGGATTAATTTTGATCTGTCTTTCACTCGTCTGTGCCCATATCCTGCCACCAGACCCTGTCCTAACTCATCTCCTGTTAAACTCACTTCCATGTTATGGTGTTGCTTTCCATCATCGTTGATGTTCCTTTTGGTAGAAGGAACAGGCAATTCCTACCGGTTGGTGGAGAGCTTAGCTTGACGTCTGAGGGAATATCTCATCATTAGGGGAAACATATACTCCCTCGATCTCTCGTGGAAATCACTAAGTATGGATTTAGCATTCCAGAATTGGAAAAATCTCTTCTCACACTCTGGTTTGATAGGTTATCAAAGTTTTTCCATTATGGACATCACCACACTCTTAAGCACTCGGGAAGCGTCCTGCTCCATGAGAAACAGTAGAAGGCAGAGAGGGTGACACGCGGCTTCCGGAAGAGGCCTTCCTGCCTTTTCTTCTCCTGCCCTGCGGGTGCCCCACTCCTTCTGCTGGAGATGCTCTCCCTTTGATCCTGAGCACGTCTGGACGCGAGGTGGAGAAACTTCCTCTGCTCCCACACAGACGGAGAGAGCTGTCTTCCGTCCTCCTGCCGCCGCAGGAGAGGCAAGCCGTCAGGGAGGCATCCG